GCATTTAGCCGACGGGGAGGAGAGAAGGAGGATCGGAGGAGAAGAGCTCCCCGCCCAGCGCTGGAAAAAGGTAAGTTTAACCCCTTTTCCCCTTTCCAGAGCCGGGCGGGAGGGGGTCCCTGAGGGTGGGGGCACCCTCAGGGCACTATAGTGCCAGGAAAACTAGTATGTTTTCCTGGCACTATAGTGGTCCTTTAAGTGTCTGGTGGTTGTTTGTGGTAAAGTATAAACAGGGAATCCGCAGACTAGTCGAGTAATAGCGATGTGTAAGAATACAACGCTTCCTAACTATTAGAATCCACTAAGAAGTTTGTATTGAACTGTATAATTAGCTCCATTAATGCTAGTAATGTTACAACACTGTTTGCAGATAGGTGTTCGTGTATAGGATTTATAGGAATATGTCCCTGGAAATTTGTAATTTACTAAACAGAATAATTATACATTTGTAACAAACTCTTTGCCTTCTGCATAGCTGTTTAAATACTGTTGGAGTATCGGAATAAACGAAGAAAAATGTCCCCTGGTCGTGTTTGTCTATGCTAGCATGGACGGCAAGTCTAAGCAGAATGCATTTCGAAGGTACAGTCACATATCATTTCAGCTGCTCTGTTTTCTCTTACAATATATCTTTGACTTATTGAGGGCAGTGTGATTTGGAAGGCATACCGTAGACAAGCTGTTACACAGTGAACTAGTTCCAAGCTGAAAGGGAATCTTTTCATTTCACTATCACTCACTCTAGCCTTCCTTCAAATAAATCCCTATTAATAAGATCATTAAGCTAACTCCTGGGCAGAGCTGATGAATTATGCATCAGTCTCAAAGAACATGATTTTTATTTTTTTTTAATTCAAAGATAAAGTAAGTTTGATAACAAATATCTTGCAGAAACGTGTACAATTCTTGTCATATAATCATCATTCTAAATTTGCAAAGCATCTGCAGATTCAAAACATTTCAAGCAAAGGAAACAGTCTTGTAAACACGTTAGAATGCTAATAAACATTTTGCAATGGATGTTCTTGATTATTTGCTTAATAAACATTTTTAAAATGTTTGCAACCAGCTTGAACTGCAAAGGGTTATTAAATATAAGTAAGAATAATCAGATATTCAAAATTAATTTAAAAGTTTAGGGGCCACTGTTGCCAAACTGGGAACATATCGGACTTGGAGAAATTTCTTAATTTTGCTAAAACTGAAAATTAAATTTGAATTTACATTTAAATACAGGAAGTGTTGTTTTGTCCTAACTGGGATCATGTGATATATATGACTCTGGGTGCAGTTTGAGGTCAGAGGAGAAAAAGATATATGTATGTATGCCAGTATATATGTATGTATGCCAGTATGTGTATGTATGTGTCTGTCTACCTGTGTGTATGTATGTATGTGTCTGTCTGTATGTATTTATGTCAGTATGTATGTATGTGTATGTATGTATCTGTATGTATGTCAGTTTGTATGTATGTGTGTATGTATGTCCTTATGCGTGTGTGTGTCTGTATGTATGTTAGTATGTGTCTGTGTGTCTGTATATCTGTTTCAGTATGTGTGTGTCAGTATGTATGCCTGTATGTATGCATGTCTGTTTCAGTATGTGTCTGTTAGTATGCATGTGTATGTGTCAGTATGTGTGTATCTTTGTGTATGTGTGTATCTGTGTCCTTTGTGTATCAGTGCGTGTGTTTGTGTATTCCTGTGGGTGGGATTTGGGGGAGGGCTTGGAGGTGGGCCCCCAGGGGCCCAGACCTTGAGCAGTGTTAGGGGCCCCAAAAATGTTGATGGCGGCCCTGGTGAGATGTAATACTGGGTTAGTTGCTTAACTATGTGGTCCTGGAGGAGTTTGGACCAAGCCACGACCTCACGTTTTTATGCATAAGGATCCCATTTTAGTTAGTTGTCTTGGTGGGCTAGCCACTGAGTAACTATAGAAGAGGATGACAGTATTTTCAGTAAAATATGTTTGTACGGATTTAGGATTGTAAATACAGTTTTGGAATAATCTAATAGATATTCGTTCATGTGCCTCTTTCTCTCACAGGGTATATGGAGTGAAAAGTTACGACGATTGGGGCGTGGTCAGACCACGTTCTGGGTCCTATGGTTACGTCACTTATATTGTGAATAGTGGTCTTATCTATATGAGACTATGTTAGGTGAGCTTGAGAGTAAAAGGGTTATTTCCGGGCAGAAGGGTAAAGAGTATGCCATAAAGGTCATTAAATTGAGTAGATTTGTAAAATGATTAATCAGTATGAATGCTACAGTTTGGGGTTTCTTCCCTTAAACTCATATTATATCCAACTTGGGATCCAGACTGCTATTGAAATCTTGTTAATTATAAATTTTCCTAAGCACAGTAACATAATATTTTGAATAGCCTTCATCGGGAATGTAATGTTGGAATTATTAGGAGCAAATATAGAAACTATATCTGGAACCCATTCAGACATCCCACCACCAAACACCACATAACCGCTACATATTGTTTATCAATCTGAAACACCCAGTCAGAATGGCAAAATATAGACACACACTTTTATTTGTGGAAAAGAATGAAATGTCTGAGGATATGTTTTCAATTTAAATTGTAGAGATTTGCGATGGTAAAAATCAATATCTTGGAGACATATCACAGCTGCTTTAGAGCAGTGCATTTCTTTCAGGGCCAGACTCCATTTATGTGTCAGCTGTTTGGGTAGTTAGCTTGTGTTAGCTGGTTTATGCAGTTGTTTCGTGTTAGCTAGTCGGTGTAATTGCTCTGTGCCGGCTGGTTTGTGCATGTGCTTTGTGTTAGCTGGTTTGTGTGGTTGCTTAGGCCTAGTAACATACAATGCAGTAATTAGGCAAGTAAATAGGCAGTATTGAAACATGAAAAACTTATGGTAGCAATTAAAAACATATCATCATGCCCTTGCTGCTAGGTCATATGCTCACCAATTTGTACTGCCCTGCACAGTTTCAACTAGAGGGAATATGTATACAAACTCTTTATGTTAAGTGCGTTAGCATCGCCTAGTCTATTGAAACTCTGACATGCGGGGTAACATATGCTTATAAACTAAAAATTACTAATAAGGACTGAAACAATACAGGAGCAGGGCTGTTCTGAAGGTCTACGCTTTCGGCTAAATGAGTCCTAGATGTTGTCGAGTTAGGTTGGGCCATCCACATCTGGGGCCCATGGGCACCTCCGTGTCTGGTCGACCCTCTGTTGCCTCCACCCTGGGCAAACTCCGGTCCGTCAGTGGGTAGATCCGTGGCGCCGTGGGCACTCTGTTCCGTGGGCAGTCTAGCAGATCCCCCCCACGTAGAATCCACCTGCCACCCGTCCCCTGCACCTCCCCGATTCCCCCGGATCCACCCCCGGGTCCCAGTCAGTCCATGCCTCGCCTGGCTCCGGTCTCATACTTGGTACCAGTGCGTGCCCCCCGGCCACCGGTTCACCGGAAGGTCCACGTCTACTGGTCCCACAGGGCTCACTGAGTCAGGGGCAAAGTCCTCTGAATCACCACCAAGTTCAAAGGGTCCGACCGGTTCCCTACCAGCACACCGGTCACCCGAGGGTGGGCATCTGTGGGTCCAGCTCTGCAAGGAGTCCGCGGTATCTCAACATGGTATGTGCCTTTGTTGGTGCTCAAGCCGCTCACCCGGTTTCCAGGGGGATATTAATAGCAGTAGCATTTTAAGTAGGATCCTCATCGGCAGCTTTCCAAATTGGGGCTTTGTGTGGGCTGTAGTGCCCCATCAAATGGTTGCTTGCGTCCCTTTATTCTTTATTATGGTGTGTTCCTGGCAGCGTCCATATCTGCTAGCTGGCTGTTTTTTCTTGCAGCCGTTGCTAGTGTAGGCGGGCGGCATAGGCCGAGCGTGGGATCTCCCACCGCTGTGCGAGCCGCCGACATGATGCTGGGATAACCCACACCGGCCTGGGGGGGAGCGGGGCCGTGCCCCGAGCCGGGGTATCATCCCACGACCAGAGGCTTAGTTCATGCCTCTCCGCGGTGTCTGGCTGCACACCGTGGGTGCACGAGGTCAGGCTTGTGGCGGCTTGCGGGCCGAAGGTGGCCGTTTCTGCTCACCCGGTGCGTGGTGTGCCTCCTGCGGGATATCGGGCTGAAGCTGGTAACCCTCTCCATGCAGCGGTAGCGACGGTTCCGGCATTGCAGCGGTCTATGTCGGCTTTTTGAGCCCTTTTCACGAGCCTAGAGCTGGAGCCCATGCATATGGCGTCCAGTCGGCTCGGCGGCCCGGCCCCGCCCCCCCCAGGCTCCATTTATGGAGACTGTTCAATCCCTCCACATTTAGGAAAAATATTTTAAAATAATTAACCTTTTCAGTGTATAAGAATCAACGTTTCGTATTCATCGGCTTTGTTCACTGTTGAGCTGGTTTGCGTCTTGTCAAACACTTTCCTGCTCCACAGAATACAATATTTGTGCATGGTAGAAGATAAACACAGTATTCCTAACACGCATCCCCACCATTTATTAGTGTAAATATAAAGGTTTACCAAAGATAAAAACAAAAAGTAAAGCAGACATAAATAAGCAAACAAAAATACAGTATCTACAATCAACGTTTGATGGTAAGAGCATAAACTCTGCAAAATACCTACAGTATATACTCGAGTATAAGTCTAGATTTTCAGCACATTTTTTGTGCTTAAAAAACCCCACTCGACTTATACTCGAGTCACTGTCTGTATTATGGCAACTTAGAGAGCCGCGTCCGTCAGAGCCATGGCAACCAGACCGCGAGACTTACAGTGGAGCTGACCGGAACGGAGGAGAAGGCTTCCTGCCGGCCCCCCCACTTCACAGCCCATGCCACTGGACCACCAGGGATTAAGATAGCTCCCCTCCCTGACCAGTTAACAAGCAGGTAGGGGGGGGGGACAAAAAATAAAATAAAATAATAAAAAAATAATATTAAAATAAAATAATTCAAATAATAAAAATGCCCTCCCCCCACCCAGTTCATACACACTACACAAACACACACTCTGCATTATATACACACTCTGCATTATATACACAAAGTGTGTGTATATAATGCAGAGTGTGTGTTTGTATGAGTGTGTGTGTGTATATAATGCAGAGTGTGTGTTTGTATGAGTGTGTGTGTGTGTGTATATAATTATAAAAATCGCAGAATTTCATAGCCCCAAGTTTTACCCTCGACTTATCCACGAGGCATAGCATATTTCATAATTGTTGGTCACAAAACTGCACTCGACTTATACATGAGATCGACTTATACACGAGTATATACGGTAGCTTCTTTTTTTCCCTTAAATAATAGTTTGTTTCTCCTTACCTTGTGCTGCCATCCTTGCAGAGACAACATACATGTTGTATCCAACAGACAAACGAGCATGAGAAACATGTATTTTGCAGCCACTAGATTACTATGAATGGATTATGAGGTCATCATGTGATGTTACTGTTTCTGGGATATTTCCATGATGCAACATGGTTTCATACATGCTGTGAATAGATGTGCATTGTGAGGTCATAGTGCAAGTTATCAATAAAAATAATATTTCCAGAGTACAACATGGTTATATAAACGATTAGACATTTATCAGTTGTATTTTCTTGCTGACAATCTCCCACTGTATCTCACTGAGATTGGAGAGATTTTCTGAATTAGCTTTTTTAATCTATTCAGATTTCAATTATTTACACTTTGTTGTTTAATAAACTCTGATAGCATGTCATTCTCATTGTTATTCACTACAATGAGATGCTAAGTGAATTTAAAAATGTAGTCCAAAACAGCCAAACTGGGAAAAACGTATTTATCAATTCTGTTTTCACTTTGATTGTACCCTCTGCAACAGTATTTTCCGATTAACCAGTCAGAGGCTGGAGTAGTGGAAGTATAGGATAAAGAGAGAAGCAGTACAAACTGATTCTGAGAGGCAGCCATGGCGTAGCCTTCATTAGATTGATATCCTTTATCTTGTAGCCAGATCATTTTTGTACTACAGCCTTTTCTCTACTAACCCTTCTATTACCAGAGAGCAAGAATAACCAATATATCAGTTGGATTATACTAGTTTGCATTTTAGCATTACACAACTATGTGGATATTTGCCACAATTTAGGTTTTAAATATAATTTGAATTCACAACTATGAATTCACTTTGAATTACCAGCAATTTTCTCTTTTGCCTATAACCCTGTTAATATTATTGACCATATGATATTGTTTCAAGGACTGGACCTATACAAAGACATTGCTCTATAAATAGCTTGTTTTTGCATCATATTAAGATCTTATGAATGGGAAGCTGGTTTGTGGATTGCAATGTAATGCAATGCCTTGTTTAAAGGACCACTAAAGGCACTTAGATCCTTTATATATGTGGCCACGTAGTTTTAACCCTGCAATGTAAAACATTTTTCCAAGCTGCCTTTAAGACAGGCCCAAGTTGTCTTTGAGACAGTATGGCAGGCTACGAAAAAAAATTACCCCCAAGATCACATACCATGTGCAAAAGTAGGCAAGCCAGAGTATCCCAAAATGGGGTATGTCCAATCTTTATTAGTAGCCACCTAGTCACACAAGCTGTTCAGTTATAGTGTCCATTTGTTTTTTGGTGTCTTTCACTGTTTAAATGATCTATTTTTTATATATTTTACTGCATTGAAGCACTCATCTTTGTGTTCAGCAATGCCCCAAGACTACTACAATATCTCATGTACAGATTTAGGGAGTTTTGAAATGTTACAGGGCCATATGACAATGCAGTCTCTGCCCATTTCAGTTTTCATACATGAAAATATGACAATGATTTTCTGCCGCCTTAGAATATACCAAATTTGGTATCTTGAGTTGTTTTATCTAACCACTTTATCACAAATCCTGGCCACAAATGCTAGCCCCAATATTTTTATTTAGTATTGACTGATGAATATAAGAGTGCCCCCATGTGCTAGGTTATCAGTTTTTTTGGGGAAGTCACATGGCTAAATATATTACATGTCTTTTTCAAACTTGGAAAAGTGACAAATTGATTTTCTGGGCCTATATCACCTTTAAAGCAGCCTGACATCTTTGTTAGTCTGGCCATTCTAAGGTCCGGTATATGTTACCTATCAGTACTCTGTGTTACACAATTCTACGTGCTGGATCATACTGTAATCCTGACAGGAATCAAGAAAAAACAGACAAAGTCGATCAGTCATCCAATTCAAGCTCCTTTCAAACTCCTTTTTTGTAGCATTAGCAAGACCTTTTCTGGGATGACTTTTTGTGGATTGTGGGGGAATGATCTGATTCAAAAGTGAAATGATTGGGGAACTAGATAAATAAAATATTGGAGAAAAATTTCATTTTAAAAACAAAGAGAGGACATGGCTTCCCTGAGGCTGTATTTTTTTTGTTCAAACTGGGTTTATAGGAGGAGCACTATTCAAACTCCACATATTGCTACCTGTGCTATTATTCAAGGTCCAAGGGATCCAAAAAACAGGCAATGTTCGACACAATGTGTTTCTTTTCTTCAGAAACTATACAAGAATAATAAAGCACCTCAGCCTCGTCCGCCTCCCCCCCCCCATCCCATCCTCCCTCCCCTTCATACTCACATCCTTCTCGTCTTCTTCACCCCTCTTCCTCACCTTATCTTTTCTTTTCTTTCTCTATCTTTCTTTTTCACGTCTACTACATCTTGTTACCAAACCCTTGGCTTACAAGGGTATCTTCTACTTTTTACTCCCTTATTTCTAACTTTGTCTCAGACTATGGTGGCATAACTTAATTTCCTCACTCAGGCACGAGCATACTGACGGAGGATTGAGGATGCCTAAAGTACACCCTGATATGAATGGAGCTAGGGCTCCTTCTTAGGATGCAGGGCCTGACTAAAAGATACAATATCATTGAAGTGAGGCGAGTGGAATAGTATTCATCAAGAGGCTTGTCTTTTGGGCTAATGTCATATTTCGTGTTTTCAAGTCTGATTTCTAGCATTTAGGCTCCTGCGCGAGCCTCACAGTGGTATTGCTCTTGATATGCCTATCGTACGTAAAATTGGGAGTTTAAGTGATGTAGCCATATAAAAACATAAAATCCTCGATGGAGGGGCAAGATGTATGGAATCTATAAAGTGGCTTGTCTTAGGGGCCGATGGTAATTTTTATGTATATAAATATGCTCTTCTACATTTTTTTGGCTTCTGCGCAAGCCTCCAAGTTGTATTAATCTTGCATTGCCTATCGTGTGCAAAAATAAAGAATAAAAAAAAAAAGAAAGAAAGAAACTATACAAGAAATAAGTCATTTTCCTAAATTCCTAAATTTTCTTTATGGAGACTTTCCTTTTTGGAGATTGCCGTTTGTTCTACTTATCTGAATTGGACTTCAATACAATTTTGTGAATTTCTTATATATTTTGTATATTTTTGGGAATATATATTATATGTTTATATATGCTGCACATACATAGGTTAACAACTTAGCTGCCAGAGGTGCAACGTAATCTCCGGCAGCATCATTAGCCAACCCAGAACAGAATTTTCAGCCTGGCTAATGTCAATTTGGGGCAAAATTGGTGTCTAACGCCAGCACGTAAAGCATACTGGTGCCAAACACGTAATGTTGGCATGCCCTCCTCCCTTCTCTTCCTCCCTCTACCATGAGGGGGACTAACGACAGTGAAGGAAGATCAAAGGAGAGAAGAATTTGAACTTGGCGATGGAATGGAGGTGAGTTTTACAGGATTATTTAGTAACGTGAGAATTCTCGTTAAGTCAAAGTGAATTTCAAACTAGCTGAAATAGCTGAACTGGAAAAATTCTCCAAGTCAGCTAGGCTTCTGATTTAGCTACTTTGGCTTCAAGCTTGAATATTAATTCACCCCAATTCTCACTTTACTAAATAACCCTGTTGGTTTCTTCTTCTTTTTATTTATTTATTTTTTTTTTCATTGGGGGTGGAGGTCGGACACTTTTTTTGATTGGAGTAACCTGTTAACTGCTAAACCACTTCAACAATATAAAGTATTTTATGATTTTGGAATGCTACGTTTAAAAATGCAGTCTTTGTAGCAGGAGAAAAAATGGCACGCTTGTTTTGTTAAATTCTTCAAAAATACAAAAAAAGTGAAAATGAAAAATAATGTTTTGTGACACTTTAAATTATTTTTTTCAAAAGCTTCTATTGTGTATTTAGAAACGGCATTTCTTGTTAACAGCATGATGCAAATCAAATAAAAGATGAGGTTCCATCAGAGATTCAAATGAAAAAGTAGGTCATGAATGCATATTAAAATTTGCAAATGTGTACTTTTTTTTAGTAAAATGGTGTGGACAGAAATGTTGAAGGTCCTTTTTTAATAATACCTACTACTACATAAAAAAATTAAAAAAAAAAAAGGCCCAAATGTGTGTATTAGAAAAATAAACAGTAACGTGTGTGTGTATGTTACATGGAAAGTGTGAAATCAAGCATTGGATGTAGACAGTAAACATGGGCAGGAAGCCAATGTTATAAATGCAGGAACAATAAGGTAATGGTAAAAGATGGGAACATTCTCAATCTCTGGAACAAAGACACAAAAAGTGTTTTAGTGAGTCTGTATGTGTTTACCAATCCAATATCTGATGGAACATATGAAATCCTCCCTGCATACGAACAGGAAGAATGGCAGATATGATATTGGGATCTATAAGGAAGATGGACGATGCACCCTTGATGACACCTGACTATCTGAGATAATATTTAGTAGACGTGCATGGCAGGAAAATTCGGTTTGTCCAAATTAATTAATCTGAAATTAAATGTTTGATTGGGTGAGACCAAATTTCATCCAATGTGGCGTTTCAGTTAGGATGAATTTCCCATGAAATCATTTCGGGGAAACCATTTAGAAGAACTAGAATTGCGTAAAAAGCACCAGTGTACTGTAAAAAAAAAAAAAACAATCAGTTTTTCTCTATTCTGCTCCCCCTTTTCTGGCACCATGGATGGCATTACCTGTTTCTTCATTCTCATTTTGATAAAGTGTATTGATTGTAAAGTTTTTCATGTTTACGCACCAGTAAGTTAAGCAAAGCTTTAG